AACTCATTTTGCAATCGTTGTTGTTGTTGCTAGTATTGTGCTAAATTGCCGCTAAGGAACAGCAACTGTAACAAGCGTCCACAGTGTGGTTGATGCTGCCGCTAACAGTTGCCTGTCTGTCATATGTAACAACAACAAAAGTAGTTCTTACCTGTCTGCACATACCGCCCGCCAGTCACCTATGTTCCATTAGTCATAGGCGCAGAGATGCCAGCAATGATTTATGCAAGCCTATCTGTTCTACATAAATACATAAGCATGTTGTAGTAATTGTTGTTACTGTCCGTCAGTCAAGTTGGTCGGGTCTGGTCCTTCAATTGACTAACGAATATACTGATCGCTTTATGTCCCAATTAATGTCAAAAGAGAATGACTAGTACATTTGCAATTACCGCTTTCAATAAGTCTACTTAAAACTACGGAAATTCCTTTGAAGTGATCCACTTGAAGTTGCTTTTCTAGCTGAAATTCTATATACGAGTACTTACTCAGTCTTAATGCCTGAGCTTTGGTGCTAAGGAGCGGAAGACAAGATATATGATACTGAGAGGTTGTCATGATCGCGGCGGGTCTCATCCATCAAATAGACTACTAATGCTGAGTGGAATGCTATACTTCTAGGTATTTTTCACATGATCGTACTCAATACTTAACATTCTCTAAGATGTGGCGTCCAACCCGTGTTAATCTCTACTATGAAGTCTATAAGACAACCGCGCTTATTTTGCTTTTAATCCAAGATTAGCAGTATTTGGACTCGTATAACACAAATTATTGGAATAGTTTTTGTGAAGCTTCTCTGAGCTTTCTCTCAAGTTTTAAGAAATACATCTATTAATCAGATCAATAAAGCTATCGACTAACCTTTTTACGACTTCCAACTACCGGCAGTACAGAGATGGATATATTTCTGCGATTGCTATCAGGAAAATTCACGATTGCTTGTGAACATACCTAACTACATTATAATCGTGCGGTTTGCTAAAGTTCTTCTTCATTACTTTAATATGAAGAAAAACATAGCCGAAAGTCATCGTATTTGGTGGAAGTTTATGATGAACAAGATCTAGCTGGGCGAACATGTCAAAAGTGGTTTGCACGATTTAAAAGTGGTGATTTTGTCTTGGAAGACGAGTAATGTTCTGGGCAGCCAAAGAACTTTGAAGATCAAGAACTAGTAGCATTACTAAATGAAAACTGTTGCCAAAGACAAGAATGGCTCGCAGGTATGGTTTCATATTTTCGTTATAGCAGCAGTATCATTTCAATTTATCCAGTCTCACCAATAAAATACTCTTAAGCTCTCGCTACTCTAAAACTCATTCTATGACAAATTTTCTATGAAACATATAATTTGGGTACTCGCTGCAACAAAAATAGGTTCACGTAATTCTATTAACAATTCCAGACGATTTGGCCTGCATTTGAAAGTTTTCAGGAAGTGAGTGGTCCGATCTACTACTACAGTTATTTAGTGCTGTATACTTAAGTTCAATTAGTATATACACATATACATGTTAAATGTCTCTGTGTATAATTTTTACTCAATTAATTGTGCACACCCATTCAGAATTTGCTGTACTAACTGTCAGAGTGTAAGTTTTTGTTGTGACTTCGGCTTATTAACAACATAAGAGTGACTGCAACTTCCTCTTGTCTCATAATTTTTTCTTTTTAAGTGAATTGTAGTCATTTTGATGAGTGATTAAAATGATCAGATCGAAACATAACAAGTTTATTAAAAGAGTTACTATTAGCTTGATGTGGTTACTAGTATTAATGTTTGTTATGCTGCAATATTTGGTTTTACGCACTTAAAAGGACACGAAATGTAACATGTCGTAAACGCAAACTCCCGTGCGTAAGCACTTTGCGGCATTTGAGCCGCCTCATCGCCAGTCACGTCGCCCCAACTCCCAGCGCCAACAAGTCAAAACAAGCGCAAACATACTGCAAAACAAGCCGGCAACAAGCAATGATAAGACAACATACATTGAATGTTTTTCTGTCATAAATGTAACTTTGGCATGTCGCTTCCACTGGCAACTTCATCTGTGCCACAAATGCAGCCGTCCGTATGCTCGGATGATCAGACGCAGTTTCTCACACTGCTGCGATCGATTGTGGCAACAAAAGCCACCCACTGGAGTTGCGTATGGCGTGCAGCTCGAAAGCAACAAAAACAGTACGAATTTAACCTACTGTAGACCGCAATAAATCCGCTGACAATTCAATATTCTGCGATCTTCAGCTACTGCGGTGACTTCGGCGACTTCTTGTCAGATCAGCGCGCATCACGAAATATGTCAATCGCAATCGTTTGCGTTGTGTTGTTTAGTGACGATCGCTGCGCGTGCTTTCTACGTTACAAGGCGATCTTCATAAATCAAAAATTCCTGTAGATTTACTTGTTCACATTAGAGTTGATTGTTGTAGTTGTTGTAGATCCTTTGATATTTTCGCATCATATTTCACTGCTTTGTTTGTTTATTCCCAACACGATCGCTTTATGTTCGATTCTGCTGTTTCGATTATTGTTTGCTAGTGCTTTTAGTCATGTGTTGTTATCGGACTCGCGTTATTTGTATGAAAAGTGTACTTTGCTCTCTGTTTGTTTAATTAGGATTGTTGTTGGCAACAGAACTAAAGATATATCTACACACTTAATTTCATCTTACTATTTTCTCTCATTGTTGGCCAAATACTAAAATATATTAATAATCATCATAATTATTAAGCAGTTTTAAAATAGTGACAAAACTTTAATAAGTTTTTTAGTCGTTTAAAAGTCGACACTAGTGATTTATTGGAATATTTTTCCATTCTGGCAACTATTATGGTTAATCTCAACTCTTTGCCAGAAAGATTCTGAGCTCGGCATAGTTCCATGATTTCAAAAGACCCAATATACTAATAAGCTGAATAGTTTTTTGTTTGAACCGAGAGATCGCGCCATACAAAAGAATATTCCTACGCTTGTATAAGAATACTCACCTGAACTAGAATATAATCAAAGTTTCACAATATTTTATTCAAACCTTCTCAAGTTATTGGTCACTTTTAGATACCGTAGTTCTTATAGCATATGATACAACCATTAAATTAAAGGAACTACGCTATGAAGTAGCGGCCCACCCACCGTATTCACCTGACTTCAAGGAGCTGGGCTCAATAAATGGCTCTAAAAACAAAGAGGTCGAGACGTACATGTATAAAAATATATTTTTAAGGCGTTGAAGCTTCGCTCTACTGAACCTGTATGAAAATATTGGATGACCGTTATAAGCAATGCATTACTCCAGCTGGAGATTATGTCGTAGCATTAAGCAATATTTTCATTTCAAAAATTTTCTTTCGCTTTTAGGCCACACAAACCTTTTATAGGATTAACCGACCGACGATTATATTCTCACTACGTATGTACATATTTTGTTCGTACAGTGCATAGCGTTGAAAAGAATTCCACAACCACCAAAAACAGTTGTACCGACCAACAATTCAAATTCAAAGTCAGAACCTCTCAACTTTTTCCCGACCTCCTTTAATTCCAAGAAAATAAAAATTCAAATTTAAATTTTTCATATCTGTTTTATTTATTTATTTTTTTTTTTTGTAATTTAATTTTATTTTTTTATGCATTTATACTTTTTTATTTTGGGATAAAATTTTCATATTGCAACTAAGTACTGCATTCCATTGCCATTACGCTGTCATTACATAATAAACATGCCTCACTGTGAGCGCGTACGAATGTACATATGTATGTATGTATGGTTGTACAAATGTGAATTTTGTGGCCAAGTGCATATAAGTATGTGTGTTACGTATCGATGCATATATGTGTGTGTTTGTGTGTTTGTATGCGTAACGCTGCTTTAACATCATTCTAAAACTTTTGCCATTTTCCACAAATCAACAAATGAGCGCATGTCATACAACTGATAATAGCTTGCACTGCTGCTTATCAAACCATCAGCCAATAAGTAGTAATATGCGCTGGTTCATTTATTCTTTCGATTTCGTTTTGAGCGATTTTACAATTTGATACAATTTGTCGCGTAATCCCGTTGTTTCCAAAGTTGCACTCAATGCGCTCATTTGTTGCTGTTGTTGTTATTTTCACACATCTGCGCATTCGTCGTTTAGCTTTGCATTGCTAATGTAAAATGTAATTAAATTATAAGTACTACAATTACAATGGTACAGTGCGTTGATTGATCAACGGTATTTTCTTTCACATATTTATTTATTACTATTTTATAATTTTCGTTTACTTATTGCATTAGTGTAATTATTTTTAATACATACTGCGCACTGCTTCGTTTTTAAATATACAATATATATATGTATGTATATTTATATATGTATGTATGTTAGTGTACATACATCTATTAATTACATTAAATTACAATACATTACTTATACACTTGCATTATGACTATAATTATTCACTTTTTCACATATTTTCTTGCAGTTTATTTTCTTTGCTGCTTTCTTTATTTGTTGCTGTTTTTCCTGTAACACATATACATACATAGTTAACTAATTACTAATCACTTATTTAGTACTACTACACTGTATGTCAAATAATGTAATTATTATTGTATTTAAGTAAGTGCTAAACAAAACACAAATTCTGTATACATGCGATTATTTACAATTTACAAAAAATATACATTTATGTTAATATAATATCATTTTCCACTTGCTTTTGAAAAATGTGCGCTACACTTGAAGGTTTGCAGACCTTTCATTACATTATTTTATTTTAGTTTTCAAAATTGTGCTGAATTTTTTTTTCAACTTTAAAGTTGCATATAAATTTATTTAATTTTTATATATTTAGTTTTTTATTTAATAAATTATTTTACAAACGACAGGAACAAAAACGTTTTATTCTTAAAACAATACAAAACAACCTAAACGACTAAATATGTGTGTGTGTGTGTTAAAGTATGCACTGAAAAATTATTTGCTTAAAAATATTTAAGTTTTTGTTGTTTTTTTTTTATTTCTGCGCTGTTCACTGCTTGACTGCTCTTTGATATGTGTTCGGTCAGCTTGCAAAAATTAATCAAATCAAAAAATGGATTTTTATTGCATAATTGCTCACTGATCTGTAGTTTGTGTCTCGAATACTTAAATTTTTCTGTTTTCTCTATTACACTGCAAAAAAGCTATTAGCTTATTTTAGTACAAACATATTTCGTCACTGCTACTATAGTGCTCCCTTTACATGATTTTTTCGTTCGGTGTATCGTGCTTTTTACAATTTCTTTTACTAACTGTTACTCTCTATAAGCTCTGTTGCATAAGTTTTATTTCTTTGAATTTTGTTTATTTCTCCGGTGTACTACTTTACGTTATTTTTTCATTAATTATTTATATAAGTAAGTATGTGTTTGCTGTTTATTTTCTGCCATCAAATATTATTTATATTGCAGCGAAAACGAAGACAAAACAGAGTTCGTTCGACCAATGAAAATGCCGTAAATGTCTAATGCTGTTAACTTAACATACATACATATTTTCATATACTTGCATATTTAGTTTTTTTTTCTGCTCTGCTAATCAAATACTTTTTTGGTGTAAACGTCTTCAAGTGGGCTGTACTCACCGCTTGCTCTCAATTAAAAATTATCAAATCACATGTAAATTATTGTCCGATAGTACAAATTCTCAATTTCGATGCGCCCACCTACAAACACTGCACAAGTGTATGCGTACGTGTGTGTATATGTATAGGCAGACATATGCTGCTACTCACCATTCTCACCCAATGATCATACGCTGTTACACGAATTACGGTCGCAACGTCACTTTTGGCGCTTGTTGTTGCATATGCTGTTCGCGAAAGGCGATCAAGGAACGAAAGGCGGACATTGGCGACGAAGCAGCTGCTGCTGCGGCTGCTGCTGCTGCTGGTATCACATGTGTCAGGGTGTGCGTATGCGTATGGGTATGTGTGTGTGTGAGTGCAGGCGTTGCAGCGCTGACGAGTAACATCGAAGTCGACGTAGCAGCTGTCGTTGACTGCGGCAGCGTTGCATTCACTCCGGACAACATTGTTGGTGCTGTTGTTGTGTTTGTTGTAGCATTTACCGCCGGCGACATTGATGACACGGTAAACTGTCATGGTTTGCCCGGCGATAATTTATCCGAATTGGAGGAGTTCGATGAGGATGTGGAATTGCCCGAGATGGGACCCATATGATGTGCGTGTGATAGACTCATTGAAGTAGGTGGTTGCACAACATCGCAACCAATCGATGATGATGTGCTAGAGGCTGATGGTGATGCGCCCGCTGGTGGTGGCACATGTTGTGGCGCATGATGGCTGCCGGTGGTGGTGAGGCTCAGTGGCGCGAATGGCGTGCCACCGGTGACGGCTGCCTTCCACAGCAACGGATTCATGCTGAGTCCATTGTGTGCCGCTAAGCTGGCGTTGAAATTTCGCTGATGCTCGAGAAATTCCTGAGAGGGTCCTGTTAGACCGGCGGGTCCATAGAAACCACGATACAGATCGGGTCGCACGTAGGGTGAATAATTTGGTATGCGCGCCGCCAAGGGTGACAATATCTTGCCGGGTGAGGCATGTTGCGCGGGATGGCCATAGAGTGCGGGGTGTGTGGGTGGTAATTCGCCAAGACCGGCACCGGGCAAACTAATGCCACCGGGTGGACTATCTTTCGCCGCTGAATCTTTGCCATCCTTGGAAGCCATATCCGCTAGCGACCAAATGCGTGGTTTCGCTGCTAAACTGGCGCTTGTACTGCCGCTGCCAACGCCACCGACGCCGCTCGCTGCCTGTAAAGAATTCTGTTGCGCCTGCTGATGCTGTTGCAACAATTGTTGTTGATGGTGATGGTAGGCGGCGATGTCGGGGGGCGAACCGGCTGGTGGGCGGAAGTGGTGATGTAACGCGGCGGGATGAAAGAGTGGATGACCGCCGCCAGGCATGCCCATGGGACGATCATAAAGGTCGGGTGAGCCATTTGGTGAGCCGGGACGCGAACCAGACCATTCGCTATTATTACTCTCACCGGGACGGTCGCTCAAGTCACCTAATCGATTCGAGCGATCTTTATCATCGTTCGAGCCCAGACCAGAGTCTTTGGCATCTGTAGGAGGAAGAGTAGAAGGGAAGAAATGAATTTTTAAATTAAGAAAACATAGTAAAAGTTTATAAGGTATAATGGTGTTAGGGTCAAGCATAAATAGTACACCCCTCAATATTTTTTTTAATAGAGAGGTACACGGAATGGTTTTCACTCTTATATTCTAACATTGCTAGCAACTTACCTAGCAAATCATTATCATCGGTGCTCTTATGATCGTCATCATCGATATTTGCATCATCATCGTCAACGCGATTTCTCGGCTCCCACGTCATTTTATTCTCTTTTTTCAGTCTTCTTCTCGCATTCGCGAACCATGTCGACACCTGCGTCAACGTCATTTTCGTTATAATTGCCAACATAATTTTCTCCCCTTTCGTGGGGTAAGGGTTCTTTTTGTGTTCATTCAACCAGGCCTTCAATGTTGAGGTGGTCTCGCGGGTGGCATTCTTGCGACGCGCTCCATTCAAATCGACACCATAGCTGGAAATAGAGAAAAGCGAAAAAAGGTTAAAGCGGTTCGAGTTTAACGGTAACATGCTCTACAATACATATATTATGAAATATACTTAGTTAACAGTTATTAGGCTAGCTGACAGTGTTCTTTGGGCAAGGGCGGGTTTTAATGTTGTCGACATGGCTGAGTGCAGGTGATTACAATTAAATATAATGCGACATAAGGCGATTAAAAAATGTGCTACGTGGCAAATTTCAAGCAGTAACACTGTTGCCACATTGGAGAAAAATGTGTTAAGAAGGCTTAAAGTAAATGGAGTATTTTGAAAGCCGTTAAATGTAAGTAATACTATTAACAGCTACACAAGGCGACAGGAGCGAATTAAGACTGTGTGGCGCCTGGTGTTGTTGGAAAATGGGGCCTTATAAAGTAACTATTATGGTATAAAAGGTTTGAATGTGGAAATGGAAAAAACATAAATTCGGTTGAGCCAAAGCTATAATATGGCAGCTATATGATATAGTGATCTGATCCGAACAATTTCTGCGGATATTAGATTATTGCCAAATTTCGTAAAGATATCTCGTCAAATAAAACCATACAAGCACTTTCCTCCGATCGTTCAGTTTGTATGACAGCTATATGCTATAGTGGTCCGATAGCAGCCGCTCCAACAAATGAGCAGCTACTTAATGAGAAAAGGATTTTCAAATCAATATCTCAGAACTGAGAGACTAGTTTGTATATATACAGACAGACGTAGCCATGTCCGTGTCAACTCAGCTCATCATGCTGATCATTTATGTATATATTTTATAGGGTCTCCGTCGTTTACTTCTGGGTGTTACAAACTTCGTGGCAAACATAATATACCCTATTCAGGGTATAATAAAACTTTCACATACTTTTGCTATTATATGCTTGTAATTGTATAATTTGCATTGCCGCTAAGAAAGCAGCAATAATACCACAAAGCGAACGTAAAAACCAGCTGTTGCAAGCAACACTACCAACTTGTACATCCATATATATAATACATACATACACATATATGCTTTTACGTGAATTTGCAATTTTAAAACTTGTTTTGCGTTGCATTAACGGCAGCTTGCCGCTGCTACACTTATTAAATTACTTGCAGCGAAAACAAAAACAACACACACAACATTAAACATGCAACATACAACGTATAACATGATTCGCAACGATTTTTAATTGATTTTAAGCACAAAAAGGCAACAGAAACCAACATAATGAGACACACACGGTATGTATATATATGACCGTATGTGCTACACATTGTGGGCAACACTGCCAACTAGCAACCGCGCGCCGCACCTTAGGCGTGAAACTTGGCGTCAACGTTGGCGTATAAACCACAAAATTCGGTGGTGGCTGGCATGGAAGCCGCGACCAACATGGCGGTCAGCATTTACGCGCAATTTGTGGTCTTTTAATAGGCGCCGCGGCAAAAGAAGTGTAATAAAATTTAAAAAAAAATAATCAAAAATTGTAGCATAAAAGGAAACTTATTGGAAAAAAATCTGCAGCAAGCAAATATGGAAAATACAAGAGAAAATTTTCGCAAATTATGTATGAGAAGAGTTATGGCGTTAAAATGGACTAAGTTGATTGGTTACGTGGCCGTAATATATACATTCATACAGATATTGAGATATCTGTAAACAAGTTGCACAATTTTTTATTGGCAGCTGAATGCAACTCTTTTGTTTGCAACAAAATGAAAAGAATAGATCAAAAATTGTAACAAATCACACATGTAGATACACACACAAATATGTGCATATGTATGTATTTGTAAATCCCTGCCTGCTTGTATGCATTTCGGCTGATGGCGCACATTTGCTTATTATAGCCTTTTGTGGTTTTGCTCGCCACTGGGTTGGTCAATCAGCCAATTGTGGGCTGGGCGGTTTACATAGCCGACGGCAAAACCAACATTCGCAATTTGCATGCATACACGTATATATAAATATATATGTATACGTGTACTACTGCAGCAACCATTGTTTGGGTGGGCATAGACACACATAACATATGTATGTGTATCAATTTAACTTGCTTGTTTGTATGGATTGTGTGGCGCAACAATTTTCTGGCTTGTTGCAAGTCCCTGTTGTTTGCGTATGTCTGTTTGTTTAACGCTGTTTATTGGCTATGCTTTATAGGTTTTATTGGCAATGCTTCGACCGCATAATTGCTGTTGTAACATGGAAATGCGTTGCTACCGATGCTGTTGTTGTGCCTTCAACCAGTAATGGCTGTTTTTTGCAGCAAGGCTGTGTATTTTAAAAGTGAATAACTGGCACAGTGGCAAGTCGACTGGAGGGATATATTTGTATGATTAACTTTTTTTTCACATATCTAGTGTAATTTTTCTGCTTAATAATATTATATATTATATATGCGATTATAAAGAGTGAATGAAATATTGCAACTAGCCGAACCGAGTAAAATTTAAAGCAAAGTCGGCAGAAAATCAACCTCTATATATGTATGTATTTAAGTATGCAAGTACTTACGTATAAGCATGCTTTAATAACTGCGCTTTCAAATATGCAACAGTAAGCGAAATGTGTCGCATAGGCCTTAAAAGTTTGTTCTACACATACATAGATACATATATATAATATCCGCGTAATATTTACTGGTATTAAAGAAACACCTGCAAGCAGCCGACCAAAATTGGGGGCGAACTACGGGCTGATGACTTGATTACTCAAGCATTATTGGCTTATATATGAATATTTAGTTGCCGTTATACGAGCAGTTACTTGTTAATCACTGCGCAAACTTGCTAATTCTATATAAATACATGCCTTTATTAATATTTTTACAGGTGTTTGATACAGGTGTTACCTGTATTGCGACATGCATGTGCGGGATTAGCCTTTGTTTATTAATTGTAAAATGCAAATAGCATGATTAGTAAAAATTGTGTTGACACCTGACAGGAAAACGTCCAAACGTATTCAAGCACACACAAATTGGTCAACAACACATGCATACATTCAATTACAAAAAAAATATTAAAAAGAAAAAAAAACAAAAAAAAAACAGAATAAATCTTAACTGCTCTTCAGTTTGTATGGCAGCTATAGACTATAGTGGTTCGATCTAAACTAGTAGTACGGAACTTGTAGCGTTATCTTAGACAATACTGCGTACCGAATTTCGCGAAGCTTTATTGTCAAATACAAAAATTTTCCATACAAGTACTTGATGCCGATTGTTCAGTTTGTATGACAGTCATATATTATAGCTTCTTAGTGAGAAATGGTTGTGTGCAAAATTTCAGATGGATTTCTCAAAAATTAAGCGACTAGTTCGTGTATATGCAGACAGACGGACATGGCTAAATTGATCATTTATATAAATACATTTTACCGGATCTCCGATGTTTGCTTCTGGGTCTTACAAACTGCTTAGTAAACTTAATATACCCAGTCCAGGTTAGAAAAATATATATCTACAAGTGTTGCAAGCTTGCTTTTGCTACAGTCTGCTATATACATAAACCGGGTATATGTACATATGTGAATTTTGGCGCTAAAAAATGCAATCACCGCTTACAAGCGTTTACTATTTTGCACACAACCAGTCACGTTATTGAGTTTTCTGTAAAATGCATATTTTTTTTGAAAGGAAATCAATTTAGTTTCGCTATAATTTTGTTTGCACAATCATTTCCTGCCGAAACAAAATATTATAATTTTTTATATATTTAAGCTTATTTTGTTCACATGCGGAAATACAAACAAATATATGCATACATATCTATAAAAAAATTATACCATATATAAATATGTATATAAATACATATGTACATGTGTGTACGTATGTATGTGTGTTTATTTGTAGCGCTTCGTGCATTTGCATTACGTGACGGGATGTTTACAATTGTCTAATTGACGTCTGTTGAGGTGTGAATTGGTGTCAAATGAAATGTAGAAATCTTCTAACTATGCACAGGAATCGTAATTTCAATTTATTATAATATAACATGCATGTATATGGAAAAATTGTAGTTTCTATTTTATTTATTGCATTGCATTTAATAAATCAATTATTGCTTTTTATGTATTTCTTCATATTCCATAAATTAACTAAGTAATTATGTGGTATATTCATATATAACAACAAATGCATGCATGCGACGCCTGTGTGATTTTACTCCTGGACGCACACATGCAAACACAGTCATGTGATTTAAGGTATGCATTCTAAATCGCCTTATTGCATATACATATTTGTTTCTTTTTTTTTATATTTTGGCATTTCGCTTCTTCTGCTCCACTTGATTTGTTACTCTGTTTGTAATCCATCAACATCTTTACGAGCTTGTGCTGTGTGTTGCGCGGCTTGTACGCACGTCAATTGCATTTTACGCGCATTGAATTAAGCCGCTTCAGCCACTTCGGCCATGCAACACACTTCGATTTGTACAAATTCTCGCGTATTATTGTTGAATTTTTATTTAAATTGATTTTTACAAATCGACACACATACCTATATATATACATACACACAAATATGCACACCGCTACTTTTATCAACATGTTTGCCACTGGCTTTAGCGCTACGCTTCTGCATTGCTGCCGCTGGCCGCATCAGCCATGCCAGGCACGCAGCCCCAAGCAACAACAATGCGCGCGCCTGAGCATATGTGCTATAAAATATGCATTTATATTAATGCATGTATGTGTGTGTGTGCATTTATGCGCTGTTATAGACGCTTGCCAATGCAGTTAGTCACTTGGCGGCAGGAAATATACATAACTGCTGCAAAAAACCAATAACCACAACCAAAGCATTTGCACGTGCGTCAGCCGCGTTCTGTTTTTGAGTGCCCGCTGCTGACGGTACGAAGCTAATGCAGCTAACTGCTCATGTAGACCGCCTACGCATGCTTCCTTACATTAATTGCATGCTTTTTTTTAATATTTAATTTCATATGAGCAACATATAAACAAACAAACAAACAAACAAACATATGCATATACAAATGTACCACATATCTTCAAGGTAAAACTTTCAAGTTTTCGCAGTTTTATTTTCACTCAATGCTTTGTCGCATTTTGCTGCGTATTTGCTTTGCTAAACTCTCATGTTATTAATCTTATATGTATGTATGTATGTAGTATGTGTATTGTAATTTTTTGTTTAATTGCATATTCAGCATTTAAGCTTATCGACAAATTACTGGCGCTGCAAATTGCATGTGTGTGCGTGGCGAAGAACGTCGGTGGCATGGCGACAAGACAGCTGTGGGTGGTTGGTTGGCGATGCGTAGGCGCGCATGCGCAATTGCTTACTACACGCAAAATGTAATCGTAATTCAACATATTTAAGCATTTTATACTATTTCTCTTTGTTGGTGCGGATTTCTACGATTTTTATCTACTGGCGCCGTCTACTGAAAATTTACCGCTTGGCTTGTGCACTTTTTGATCGTAAAAAAACTTGTTGACGGCGGCATTTGTAGCAGTTAAATGTCTTTCTTTTTATGCTATTTGATTGCGCATAATTACATTTATGTATTTATGGATTATTGACATATCTATGTAATACTTTGTTTGGCGGTATAATAAGACAAAAAATATTATGACGGCGTGACATTAAATAACGACAAAATATTGAAAAAATATAAGGAGAAATAAATAACCGTAAACATTTTAAAATTATTTCGGTTCTAATACCCTACACAGGGGTATTTCTTACAGCATGAAAGTGTGTAAAAAGATGTTTATCTTGATTTCGATCGGTCAGTTTGTATGCCAGCTATATGCTACAGTACTTTGATCTGAACAATTTGTGCGAAAATTGTACCGTTGCCTTGGACAATAACCCATACTAAATTTCATAAAGATATCTTGTCAAATAAAGAAGTTTTCCAAACAAGACTTGATTTTGATCGTTCAGTTTGTATGGCAGCAATAAGCTGTGGTGTTCCAATATTGGCAGTTTCGACAAATGAGCAGCTTCTTGAAGCGAAACGGGTGTGTGCAAAATTTCAGTTCGATATCTTAAAAACTGAGGGCTACAAACCCTATTCGGAGTACAATACCTAAGTATGTATGTATATGTGAATGCATTATGAAGCACAGAAAATATTAATAGAGAGTATTTGCTCGTATATGTATGCAGTACCACCCCAGCATCCATCATGCAACGTTAATTTTCAACATTTTTCTCGACACCGCCTGTCAGCCTGAGCTTATTTAGATTTACAGTTTTTAAACAATAAAATCATCTGCTCAAATTTCCTGCTAAATATTCAAACCCTACATACATACGAGTATGTATGTAGATTTTCATATAAATTTTGTATATTGCAACAAATGGGTCTTGCCACATAAACAATAAGGGATGTTCTACACTAACATTTGTCACCCGCAAAAGCTGCTTTGCTGCGCTAGCACATTTATGCATTAAAAGCGAAACGTTGTCACTCAATTTGTACCCATCGACTTTATTAAGTCAGTAGTTGGGCGTATGCTGTTAGTGTAAACGGCATGTATTGTATGTAAGTACCCCAGCGAGCGGCAGTGCGTTGATTTATTTAATTGCAAGACATCACTAGTAAAAATCTACTATTTTCATTTTAATTTCCATGCTAGCTTTGCTTGTTGCCTTAAAAATAAATATATAACATGCAATATAAGTAGAACTAAAACTTTGGAGCACATGAAAAGTGGGCGTTCACAATTTTTATCATGTCGTTGCTGGATGTAAATATATACTTTTTTGTTCATGTGTGCTTGATTTGTAAGAGTGATCTATTAATTTGTTATTCACAAAAGTTCCGAAGAGCTCGTGGCACTAATAAAAATTATGTAGTAACCCCGCATATGGGTTTTAAATTCATTCATAACGGTGTATCTTAAAAAAAAGTCTATTAATTTAGATTTTAGTACACAGTTATGTCGCTAAATCGATCATTCATAATAATATGAAATATGTATTTCTCTCATACATACTTGCTATAATGTGACGTCATCATCATCATTGTTTAACCAATTCTCCATAAATTTCACAAAATATACATAATCTAGTTATTATAAATTTATCTTCTTAAATGTTATTACGAAATTTTCTACTTTTTCGAATTTTCTTAAAATTTTTTTTAACTCACCTATTAAATGGATAGCCGAACGCTGCATCGTAGGGATGATACACCGATGGATAAGGCCATGGCGCACCGCTAGCTACCAAATTCTCTTTCAGATCCAAACCCGTCTGCAACATTAAGAGGAGATTTTGAAATTTAATTAGCGGAAAGGTAAGTATTATAAGAATTCTATATTATGCTATAATAACAATCATACACAATATAAACGTAGAGAGTTGACGAAATAATTAGTACTAAAAATATTTCGCAGAGATAAGCGATTTATAGCTTACGCATTTCATTCATAAAAAACCAAAACACAAAAAAAAAATTTATATAAAATCGCATATTTTGTGTTTTTAATTGTTAATATTATTTTTGTATATTCAGTTTGAAGACCTTGATCTCAACACACTAAAGTATCATGTTTAACAAATTAACACATTTTTGTGCTGATTACCAATTTCGCGCAATAAGTTTTTGAGAAGCACAGCAGAAGTATTTTGATACACATATATATAATATATACATATAGTACAAATATTATATATGTATGTACGTATATACATGCATACATTAGGGTGGATAAAAAAAATTTTATATTTTTTTCTGTTAAAATTACGTACGAAATGTGGAAAAAATTCTACAAAAGTTTGAGCTCTTAATAATAATATTTACTATTACTATATTTGATTTTTGATTTACCAGGAATACTTTTTAATTTTGTTGCATATGCAACATTTGTTTAGTAAAAATTAACACTTTTGTAAGAAATTTGACAATATACAAATAAGACGCATCTGAATTATTAAGTCGACTTGATGCAAAATTATTCAAAGTCGAAGTCCGAACTTAAATCGTAAAGGAAAAGTTTTAAAATTTTTTTTATTTTTTCATAATATATGGTTTCACAGTCATAAAATATTTTATTTTTTTGACTTTTGTGCTTTTAATTCGATAAATTCCTAGACTTTTTTTTAGCAAGATTGAAAAGAAAAATAGACGTTTTATAATAACATAGTTGGAAGTATCAAAGAGATTAGAAACTTTATTATGTTACAAAATTGATGACTTCTATAACGGTATTTAAGGAAAAAAATATTTCTTTTGCCCACCCTAATATATTTATATACATACATATATAGATATGTTTACATATTGCACACAATGCGTATTAGCAGCGCTTAGAGCGGCGTTGATTGCGTCAGTGGCCGATAGTGGGGGGCAATGCTGCTACATTGTAGCATGCGTCATTGACCCCCATAAATATGACAAGAATAAATTGGCGCGACTGTCAAATGTGTTCGCTTTTATTTTCTTTAGATTTGATTTGATTTGATATTATTCCATCTACTACAACGAGCGGATTTTTATAGATCTAACATGGACTTATACACCATAAGTACATATGTACTCGTACATACATATGTATAAATATTTCTAATTGTATAATTTTATAGAAATTATATTGAATGGTATCAAATGGTGGAGCAAGTGATAATTGAAATAAAATAATGAGTACATAAATTTCTAACAAGGCAATTAACCACACACTTGTTATTTGCTGCGGGACTGTCGTAAGATTTGTTAAGACAAGCTTGCATATATAATGTTAATTTCATTGCACTTGCATACTTATCGCTTTATACTGACACTTATTTCTGCTGTTGTTGTCTAATTGAACAATACAATTATATATATGTATGCATTTGCTGATTATAATTTCACAAAAGTAACAAATTAATTATTGCGCACCACAAAAGGCGCAATTTTCTTTGAATGAGAATTAGTAGATTGTCTTATTAATAAACACTTAGTTGTATAACAAACTGACCGACAGTCACACAGCCGCTGGTGTCATTTACGTACAAGTCGCGCTGCTGATAACAATAGACATTGTGTTAATGGACATTTGGCGCAAGGAAATGGAAAATATATGTAAATGTTGGAAAAATATTAAAAACAAAGAAATACATTGAGACGATCGATAGTCGTTGAAGGTGACGATTTGATGCAATTTTCGCTTATTTAATAATTTAAAATAATTACTAAAGAGAGTTTTCTGGGTCAGAGGCTTGCATTTCGAATAGTTTTTTGACTTTCGAATAAAAACAGAATGTATATTTATTAAATGAAATTTCTGATATACATTTTGTTAGCACAAATTTATCGATATTGGAAAAAAGTTTTCAAAATAAAAAAAAATTCAGAAAAATATGCGTCGTAAAGTAGCAGAGGAAAGCGCGTGTACTTATCGTCACGATTTCCAATACTACGGCTACTGTTTCGATTTTTTTTAAATATCAAAAAATTAAAGTTTTATTCACTTTTCCGCCATAAAAGGATATATGTATAACGGAAATTCATGTCAAACTCCAAGAAAATCGATTAACTAGATATTAAAACATTTTGCCAAAGGCTTTGGAAAAAGTTGTTTCAAAAAAAATGTGTTAAACCGGCCAAATTGGCTGCAATTTTAAAATAATTAGAATTTCGAAAAAATGGGGAGAATAATTTAGATTTATTTCCAATTTCAGATTTCTAGAATGCTCTCTTCAAACAAAAGATAAAAAAATTAATCGAATATTTAAAAATGTCTAAAACTTTATTAAATGAATTCCATCATTCCCATTTTCACACCCTTTAGCCAATTCGCCAACAGCTGTGTTTTCTGCAGTGCGTGCGCGAAAGCGTGTAATCGTAACGTAACCAAAGGAGCAACAACAGCAAGCAAAATTAACAACACGTTGAACACATTTATTGCGTGATTTGATTTTAATGCGTTGATATAAATTTCATTCATGTAGTTGTTGTTACCATTGCTACTACAACTGCTATTACGAAAAAACACAGCAGACAAAAAGCAACAAGCCATTGCAATAACCACTCAACGCGGCCAGAAGTGCATGCGTAGCAGCAACAACATAAATTGTATTGCCAACAATAACACAGGCAGCTAGAGTAACAGAACAACAGCTACTGTTGCACGTCCTTCAAGCGACACGCAGTGTTGCAGCAATAAGCAGAAAAACCAAAAAAAACAAAAAACAACAAATAATAATATACTGCCTGCTGGTCTACTGTTGGTGTTGAAGAATGTACAGCGCATGATGCAAGTTTGTTGTAGCCTCTTGGGACCTTTACGTTGCTGGTCAGCCAGTTAGCAACAACACTTGAGTCTGTATAATAACAACAACAACAAATATGAAGTACTAAATACTCGAGTCTGTGATAAACATTAACAACTTTCGACATGTTGCTGCCGCTGCTGTTTCTTGGTGCTGCTGCACTCTGTGCCATGTTATTCTTTTGACAACAACAAACAATGTGCTGGTAATAATAACACTAACCTGGCGAAAAACATCGACAACAATGATCAGCAACTTGAACAAATGTGTTATATTGTTGTATTATTGTTTTTTTTTTCTTCTTACCACTGCTGTTGTTGTTGCTTGTAAAAATATTGAGTTACTTTGAAAGCGTACAGCTACTAAAAGTGCCACATTCACACACACACACACACATGTACACACTTTTTAAAACAACCAAAGCCCGCTTATGTTTGTTGACATGTTCGAGCTGCATATAAAATTGCTACCAGTATGTGGCAACAGTGGCATTAGCCGCACAGTAAACCCAACTATTGTGGCTATAGATCGACACTGCTAGATATTCGCGTTTGCATGCAGAATTTATTTGCTGCAAATGTGATAAATTTCGCATAAATACTGCTTTTGTTGTTGCTGCTTTGTGACTTGAACTTATGCTGGTATTGTTGGCACTTTGTTGTAGATGTGTCCACCACGCAACTCCTGCTACTCCGTATCGTATCGGATTTATGAATGAGCAACCGCCGACAAGTTTGCAGCATGCGTTTTGTATATAAATATGTATATGTACATAAATATATATATATATATATATATGTGTTTATATGTATATGTGTGTATGTACATATGCGCATGTGCGTAGCAATAAACACGCATTTCATTTTTTGCTTTAATGTCTTTAGACCTTTTTGTTTTGTCACTAACTCTTAACTCTTTCATTGCATTCGTTTCTGCCCTACATGAAATATTTTCTTGCCTATCGACACTTTCTCCTGCTTATAATTTGTTCACTTTTGATCGTTTTGGTACCTACAATTGCCGGTTGTTGCTAAAACAATTCAAATTAATTGATTTAAATAAATACTGCTTCTCTCCCTTTTTGCATTCCCAGCTACAACGTTCGATTTCTACCAGAAACGGCGACTGCATTGGAATTTGCATACAACTACTTCTGCAAAATTAGCATATTTCTGTTGTCTCTCTGAATTATGTACATATGTATGTGTACTCATTTTTATATGCTCAGATTACAGTTTTTGATATTTCCACAATCTCGTTTATTTTTTTGTTTGTGGTATTATTGTAATCTCTGTGTTTTATTTCATTATTTAACTGCATTTTGCTCAACTCGCCGAAGTGCTGTTCGTTTGTATGTTGATTTTGCTGACGTCGTGTGCCGTTGTGTGGTCCAGCAGCGCTAATTTTGTTCTTGTTTAACGCATATAACATTGATATGTATACTAAAAGGCTGTTAATGTTATTGGTGCTTCGTGTATGTAAACAAATCTGGTCGGACTTATCAGCAATTTGATTTGCTAATCGCACGAAATGGCGTTCTTACGTAAAGTTTTGGCATGTATTTGCAAAAAAAAACATAAACAAAGCAAAATATAAAAAATTAATAGTATTTAAAATAGAATAAAGGGATTAAAATTACGACACATTTAACATTTTGCTGTGAAGTGTGAAGTATGTGCATATATTCACACACTATGTACTTACATATATATGTACATATACTATTTTTAAGCTGAAGACGATTGTAGATTGAGCCTCCGAAGGGCGGAAGGAAGTCGGTCGGCTGTGCGATCGAATCATGTGACCATAGCTTAACGATCTTCAAAGTAATTTTTTAAGAGATGTTTTACAAAATTTTTTTCTAACATGATTTTAAAATTTCAATGAGAATAAAGGGTACATCGTTGCCACACAACCGCGCATTGAGATCATGGCATATTGTATGTTGCAAAATGCGAATTTTCACTTGCTTCGCCGCGAATTTAATTTTTTTCTGACAA